CTTAAGGACAAGGACTGTTTCTTGCTCTCTGAAGCCCCTGGTCCTGGCACCCAAATACCTGCTACATAAACACACACAGGAGGAATCCTTCCACTCCGTGACAGCCAATCTGCTTCCCCACCAGATGTGTTTTTCAGGAAGGCAGGTATTTTGCATTGACTGTTGAAGAAACCTCCAGCCCTCTCCCAACTCTGCTGGCCCTCCCACCCCTCCTGCCATGCCCCAGCTCGGGAAGTGCCGGAGGAACTGTCTAATTGAACTCTCCTTAGCAAAAGATCACCAAAGGCCCAGTCTTTTTTAACTGACTTAAGAAACAGCAGTCTGTGTAGCCACATTTCAACCTGGCCAAGGGACAGAGGATCACGTATAACGTGACCTCGATGCAAAGATGCCCAGATCTCTTGGATTCTCTGCTGCGTCTACTTTAAAGCTCTTCCTGTTTTACCTTTGCTTCCTTCAACGGTGGAAAGAGCACTGGATTCACAGTCAAGAGGCCTGAGACCTGCTCCGAGCCCTGCCCATTACCAGCTGGGGGCATTGAGCAGGTCGCTTTACCTCCCTCCAATCTGTTCCCTTGTCTGTGGCCACTAGGCTGCTTAGCAAGGCCAGGGCACCAGGTTAAAACAGGAGCAGGCCCAGGGGCTCAGCTCTAGGCTGTGGGCTGGGGAAGCAGAGAACAAGAGCTGAGCCAGATGGGAGACGAACCGCTCCAGGCTCAAAACGACTTTCTCTGAGTCCTGGCCAGCTCTGCCATCTTCTCAGGCCTCACCCAACACTGTTGTGGTCGCCACGTTCAGCTAGTGACGGCTTCAGCTTCTGGAGCACCGGGGCCACTCTCTAGAAGAGGGTGTGCTTTTCTGAGTTAATCCTTTCCATCTCATCTTCTTACCCCATCTTCCCACCCAAATCACCACCACTCGCCCACTAAGGCCTGTTTAATGGTCTCCAGAGTCCTCCTCCCCCATCTGTGTCCCCAGCTGGGGACACCCCAGCTTATTTGAAGTACATCCACCATGGCCAGTGGCCCCGCTACACCCTGTCTAGGAAGCAGAGGCCTCCCTGGCTGTGTGTCCACTGTGCCCCTGACCTTGCAGCAGGGCCCTAGTGACTGGGCTTACAGAGGAGGACACTGAGGCCCAGGGAAGTCACTTGCTTGCCAAAGTCACTCAGCAAACCAACTGGGCCTGGAGCCTCTGTGGTGGGAGCAGGAGGGCACTGCACACATCAGATGCTCTAGCGTCCAAAATCTGAGACTGCTTCCCACGGGATCACTGTCTAATATGCTGGTGACAATCCAGCTGCTCACCTGTCCCCAGCCTCAGCTCTGGTCCCCAGGGCCTGCACACTCCTGGCAGGGCATCCTGATAATTAGTGCAGCCCTCCCCCAAGTCCCGGGGCGGGGAGTCTTTAATGCACACCTCCTGGGAGTTCACCTTTCTCTTCCTGGCGGCCACCCCACAGGTGTCCCCATGATATGCTCCAGCATCATAACAAGCCCAGGATCCGTGAGTGCAGGCCCCTGTCCCTGTGTGTTTCCTCTAGTGACAGGGTCCCTTCATGCTGACAACCCGCATGGAAACCTCCCCAAGCGTCAGAAGGGGCAGTGTGGCTTCCTGCTCTTGGTTGCCGTGGTTGGGTTTTGTTTTCTCTATCTGGTCGCGCCAGGACATCTGTACCACATTCCTCTTTCTTGGCATCTTTACATCCCGCAGTTGACTCTGTTAGCTTCTAGGCTGGGTGTGGTCCAGAGGCTGCTTTCTTCCTGCCATTTATCAATTCAGTTGCAAAAGAACCAGCACTTCCTGATGACAACCAAAAGAAAGTAAGTTAGTTGAAGAATCTGGAGAACTGACTTCTGGTGTGTTTTTACATGTACCAGGAAGTTTAAGCCAAAAATAATTTGCTGAGCACCTATTAGGTATCAAGTACTCTACTAGACCCTATGATAAATAGAGACATGAGCAAGCTGATAACGACAGTCGGTGTGCTGTGGATATGAGGCAGGGTTTCACCAGAGATGAGATTGCAGAGGTGGATGTGGGGCCCTGAATCTGGAGGGCTTTGAACACCAGACAGCATCTTCCATTCATGGGTGTTATAGGGAAAGCAAGTCTATGTTCAAATAAATCTGGGAAATAGGACTTTTATAAAAGAGTTAATAGGTTTTTGCCTGGTTTGGGTGGGTGCTTTTCTCGCTAGACTCGCCAGCCTCTGCTATGCTAACAGGCATTGTGAATCCCCAAAAGGAGAAAGAAGACCGCATTTCTCAGGTTTGCCTGGCTGGGGAACCTCCTTTTTTCCCTTCATACAAAGCGTCTCCCAGGATGGTGTCTCAGCAGATACCCTGCGAGATGCCAGCCTTCCACTGAGGTGATTTAAGCTGGCAAGTGGCATGATTGGGTGGGCATTCATGGGCATTTTTAAAGTCCATTCTGGAAACAAATGTAGGAGACGGACTGGGAGAGGGAGAGGCTGGAGGCAAGGAAACCTGCTAATGGTAATGGTTGCTAATGTCTGTGGCCGCACTGTGCACAGACCTGACGGCCGTCAGCTCACTGAATCTTCCTAACGGCCCACTTGGGGAGGCGTTGCTGTTACCTGCTCGTCACAGATGAGGACAGCAAGGCTCGGAATGGTCAAATCGTGGGCCTGGAGTAACCCAGGGAGCTAATGGGAGAACTGAGGTTCTGTCCAAAAGTGTCTGGCCCCAGAGGCTGCCTCATGAGCACTCTGCTGCACTGCCACCTAGCTGGAGTGGAAATAGCCCAGGCCAGAGGTGACAAGCAGTGAGGACAGCGGGACTGGAGAAATTGGTCCCCCGAAGTAGAAAGGCCAAGCATAAGAGAAGCAGTACTGGGGAGTAGTATAGGAGAGTGGGGTGTCCAAACAGAGGATAGCAGCCTGTGTGCCTGTGGGGGTGTGGGCTCCCCTTTCCCTCACCATCTCTTCCTCTTGATGAGCAGTGTGAATGGGTAGGTGGGCCTGTTCTCCTTTACCTCACACACTTCCTGTAAGCCATGAAGGGGAAAAAACATGGCGGCCTTGCCTGTTCCCAGGCAGCATCCCCAACTCCCAGGCAGCCACCAGCTGAAGAAGGGTCACCAAGCGAGGGTCGGCCCTCACGCCCAGCTAATGACATAGGATCTGGGAAGCCGGGGTGTATTTTTATCCTACGTGTTCTCCATGTGCCACCAGGAAACCCTCCACCGAGTCCCCAGGCCAGCTTTCCCCTAAGGCTGCCCCAGCAGGTTCCATGCAGGGACCCAGGGACAACTGGGACACAGGCCCTATCCTCCAGGAGTAGTGGGGCAGCTTCAGAAAGCAAGTTATAAGGCAGATTTGAGATCTGAAGTATCACTCCCACTCAGTAAAGCCGTAAATCAGCACTGTCCAAGGAAAACATCATGGGAGCTTCCTACGGGAGTTGTCTGTGGAATTCTGAATGTGAAACATAAACAGGTGAAATTGATTTTAATATAATTAACCCAGTATATCCAAAATATTATTTCAACATGTAATCTAAAAGGTATTACTGTGGTGTTTGAGAGTCTCTCCTGGTGCTAAGTCTCTGAAGTCCAGTGTTTTGCACTTAGTGCACTTTTTTTTTTTTTTTTTTTTTTTTTTTTTTGGGGTTTTTTTTTTTTTTTTTTTTTTGAGATGGAGTCTCACTCTGTTGCCCAGGCTGGAGTACAATGGCACGGTCTCAACTCACTGCAACCTCCACCTCCCAGGTTCAAGTGAGTCTTCTGCCTCAGCCTCCCAAGTAGCTGGGATTACAGGCACCCGTCGTCATGCCCGGCTGATTTTTTAATTTTTTTAGGGACAGGGTTTCGCCATGTTGGCCACGCTGGTTTTGAACTCCTGACCTCAGGTGATCTGCCTGCCTTGGCCTCCAAAAGTGCTGGGATTTATAGCACATCTTAGCATGGACTGGCCGTTGGGGACACTGGCTCCTATATTGGCCAGGGCAGGTCTGGATTTTGTCCAGTTAGATATATCTTTGTGACCTGAGTGACGGAATGGGAATGAAACAACCGGAAGCCTCCCGGGGATGGCTGCGGGTCCGTGGCCTGGGTCTCGCGTGAATTTCTACTCTCCTTACTCGGGCGCCCTGTCTCCCACACCTGCAAGAGCATGGAGACAGGCAGGCTGTTGAAAGGACACCGCTGGGCTTTCAAGATGAAGCGTTTGAGCGTAGAGCTGAGAAGTCTGTACTCTACAGGTTTTGATTCAAATCCTGATTTCAAAAGCCAATCATTTTGTACAAATTTTACTTGTTCATCAGACGTTATTGAGCAGATTTTTTCCCAAGTCCCACGCAGCCTGCAGGTACAGGGATGAACCCCCTTGGAGACCGACATGTAAAAGGTCCCGTGGGGTAGCGGGTGAGGGACCCCATGCTGGTCCCACATAGCAGGAGACAAGGAGGCAGTGCGAGTCGAGGCAGCACCCAACCTGACGGGCTCTTGAAGGACAAGCACAGTCCGGCTGGAGCCACCCGTTCCACCCGGAGGGCAGTGGGAAACTAGGTATGAGAGCCCAGGGCTACTTAAAGGGCCTGCCCAGGGCGGGCATGGGTGAAGGTTGAGAAAGATCTGTGTGGGACACAGTGGGGTCCCGGTCTTGAGGGACATACAGCGCCAGCCCCAAGCCTTGAGCAGGCACTCAAGGACAGGAGGGGGCGTGAGAGATCTGGAGAGGGTGTGGGTGGCCGTATTGCACCTGGGAAGGCCCCCGGGCCCGTGTGGAGCACGGTGGAGGGCGGAGCTGGGGGCCTTGTCGGGAGATGATTGCAGTAATCCAGTCTGGAGACAGGCTAGAAAGAAAGAATGGGCAGAGGAGCCGGCCTCAGAGGTGGACAGTGGGGACAAGGCGGGAGGCATCAAGGATGGCCCTCTGGCTCTGGCTCAGGTGACTGGGTGCCTTCCCCAGGCCGTGTGTGGAAATGCATTGAGCCTTCTCAGCGTTTCCTGATGTTTTAAGTTTCCACTTTAATGCAGCTGCAGAGACTCCGTCCCACCCGACTGCCTCCCAAGATACAGCGCTCGAGGCCCGTGAGTAGCCGGCGGTTCCGCCCTCCCCACCTAACACTGCCTGAGCCGTCCTCCCTCAGCCTGACTAAACCTCCGGAGTTTGGACCCTCCTGCCTGGCAAAAGAGAACCGGGAATTGGGTTTTTCAGCTTCCCTGTCTGTGTGGCATGAGCTTGCATTTTCTGGGCTTCTCTCGCTTTTTTTCTGAATAAGTTTGGTGACTTGCAGATCAGAGCTGTAGGTAGCAAGGGGGTCACTGTGTGGTGTGTGTGCTATGTGTGCATCATCTGAGCAAGTCTCACAGGGTGAGCAAGAGGTTCAAAGCCTTCCTCCATTCGCCTATTCCTCACAAAGGAAGCAGAAGTCTGGGGGCAGGGGTCTCCTTCCTGCCAGATCTTGGTCTGGAAATGTGTTTGTACCTTCCTGCGGGTGGAGGCTATGTCCAGAGAGTGCGGAGCCAGCTCTTATGGAGACAGGTACCGCTCCCCTGCCAGGCCTTCCTTGGAGATCCGCCTTCCCATGTAAAGTGCCAAGTAAGGGGCATGGTGGTGCACGCCTGTAGTCCTAGCTACTCAGGAGGCTGAAATGGGAGGATCACTTGAGCCCAGGAAGTTGAGGCTACAGTGAGCTATGATTGTTCCACTGCATTCCAGCCTGGATGACAGAGCAAGACCCTGTCTCTTAAAAGGGGGAAAAAAAAAAGTAAGGATGGGGAAGCAGGAAAAAATATATACCCACCACCTCCTGGGAATGGGGTGGGAGGGTGAGAGATCCATCCATGGAAAAATATTGGGTCTGGGTCCCATGTTAAGTATCAGTGGAGTCATGTTCCTTGGTAGGTCAGACTTCTGCCATGCTGAGGCATGTGGACTTTAGCAGGTGCCTTGAAAGTGGGAAACCTGCCAGGACCTTTTGGTGAGGGCTGCTTACCAAGGGAGAAGTTTCTCCATCTACTGTTCATTGTGACCACCACTCTGTGGCCAGCCAAAGAGCACCCTACAACCCAGTGTCCTAACCCTCCCGCCTTCTGCAGTGCACATATCCAAATCCATCTTGTGAAGGCAAGGAGGCCGGGGCATGTAGGTGACCAGGTGAACTGCATCTGTTCACCTTGGGAGATGCACCCAGCATCCACTGGGTAGCTACTCTCTGGGTGCATGTTGGCCATTCCATGGCACTGTTCCCCTTCCCCTTCCCTCCCCTCCTACTGTGGGTGAGAGTTAGAGGGCCAGGAGGGAGGCTGGGGGGCCTTAGATGCCTTCCCCTATGACCACTGTGAGTCCACGCTCCCAGCCACACATGACAGTGGATCCATCCCATATCCCCCATCAAAGTGTGGTTGGCCCAAAGCCCCATCAGCACAGCTGGCAAGGAGCTAGACTATGTCTGCTCACTGTCTCTGGAAGGAAGACACAAGCAGCAAAAAGAAACTGCTTTGTGGGGCAGGAGGCCCCTTCTAGACTGAACCTTGTGTGACTAGTGAGAGTTTCAGTACAGTCCTTAACAGCACATATTGGGAGGCCGACAGAGGTAGGCTTGAATGCTGAAGTCGTGTGATCTGGCAAGCACTGAAGCTCTCTGAGTCTCATTTCACCTCCTGGGCTGTGCCCTCATTCCTAGAGGGGTTTTGTGAAAAGGAAAATGGATGACATTTGTAGAACACACACAGTGCCTGGCACACAGTAGCAGTTTTATTCTTAACAGGTTTTTTTTACATCCTACAGCTTCTAAGGAATGGCCCAGTTTATTAATAACTATCATTTGCCTAGGATTTTACAGTCAGCACATCATTCTTAGGTACCTCACCCCAGCTGAGCCTCACAATAGTTCAGTGAAGCAGGCATCGTCGCCACTCAGTTTAGCAATGAGAACACTGATGCTTGGTATCTTAACCCAGGTTCCTCAACTGCAAATAAGGTCATCGGGACTCTAGAACCTGTGGTCTTGCCAGCATTACAAGCTCTCTGGATCTTCCATCTTCTGATTGGGACCAGAAGAGTTTCAGGTTTCAGTTTGTTTCGGATTTTGGAATATTTGCATGATACGTCCTGGTTGTGTGCCCCAATCCAAAATCCAGAATACTCCAGTGAGCATTTCCTTTGAGCATCACATTGGGGCTCAAAAAGTCCGGGATTTTGGAGGGTTTCAGATTTTGGATTTTCAGATTAGGGATACTCAACCTATATAAAATGCTGGGGGAGAAAAAAATTCAGTCAAGAAAACAAATAACCAGCAGCAGCTGAGATGTCTGTGGAATCTCCAGTGTTAGGTCTTGCAGAGACACGGAAGAGAAGAGAATGAATATTCATTGAGCACCATTCATGGTGCCTAGGACTGTGCTGGGCCCTTGTGTGATGATTATCTCATTTGTCCAGCCCAGAGCAGGCAGATGCTATCTCCCTAATTTATGGCCAACACCGCAGGGACGATGATAGGCCTGACGACAATCCTGCCTTTGAGCCCAGCTTGCCTCTCTCTACTGTCTGTCTTTGTTTTCTAGCAAACAGCCTCCCGTTAAGCCAAAGTCAGCAGCAGGTAGCCCTTAGAATTCCCCTCGGAGGCTCGGGATCCTAAGCGGGCAAGGAATCTTTTGGAAGTCATGATTCAGGGAAGGATCACTCCCCTTAGAAAAATTGAAGTATTGGAGACAGCTATAGTGGACTCCAGGTTGTCTTACTAGTGTGGGGATCTGTGCAGATGGAGGGGTGGGCAGCCGCATCCATGCAGCCGGGGACTTGGGGAGACAGACGCTCTGAGACACTGAGCAGCAGTGGCCTCAGGCACTGAGCTAATGCAGGAGGCGACTAGCCTGGCACTAGCTTTGGCTGGACCTGCTGGGTTGATGGCATGCTAAAGAGGCAGGGGGGCCTAGGAGGACCAGCTCTCCTAGGCTTGGAAGTTAGAGACGCCTGCCCTGGTTTGAATTACAGCTGGGCCACTTCCGGGCTGTGTGACCTTAGGCAGGATCCTCAACTTCTCTGAGCTTTAGTTTCATCATCTGTAAAATGGGTTTACCTGGTAAGGGTAATGAGATTGTATATGTACAGTGGCCACCACAGTCCCTGGCATGTCCCCCGCACTACTTCTGCCAAGCCACAGCACTAAGAGACCAGTTTGGGAGTCACAGAAGGTTGGTGCTTTCTGGGCCGCTAGGCACCATTGATTCTCCATGCACTGAGGCAAGCATTTCCAGTGCACACTGCCACACACTAGGTGGGAACTGGGGAGACTCGGCATATGGAAGCCCGCAAGCGCCTCGAAGAGGACAGCCTACCAACTTCCCATGTCAGGGGCCACCGGCCACCAGCGTGGCTTTGCTGGGTCACTTAGCCACAAATGTTCCAGACAGAAGTGCAGCTGTTGGCCCAGAGTAGCAGGGGTGGGGGAGGGTCTAGCCATTCAGACTTTCTGGAAGGAGCTTTGTAGCCCGGCACCTGTGGCTGGAGTTCAGATGTTACCCGAGGATTTGGGTTTTCTTTTTTAAAAGAAGAAAAAGGAAAGAGCAGAAGAAAACCATTCCAGTGTCTCATGGACGAAGGGGCATGGGTTGGGGCCTGCCAGGGAGAGGCAGGCTGCTGTCAGCCTGCTTGTGAAGCGCTTTATAAGCCCTGTATTTATTATTTCTTGCTCACCATTAAAATCAAATGTACTCAGTGCTTTTGTATTCAATACACATTTAACCCTGCCGACTTAGATTTCTCAGGTTTTAAATCCAGTGGGGAATTGGCTGGCTTCCCAAGTTTCCCCTCCAGTCCCCCTTGAACAGAGCTGGAAATCTCTGTTTAGCATTTTCTCCCCTGGCGCGGCTGGGACCCTCACGCCGCTGGGGCCAGTCACTGTTGTGTGCCTGCGAGGTTCTTCATCCCCAATGCCCACCCTTCCCAAGCACCCTGAAAAGACAGGTGTGATCGCTGAAATATGACGAGACTTGTCTGTATCGTCTGTGATTTGGGCTTAATTAAACCATTTTGTCTGTGTGTATCTGTGCCTGGTTGTGGTCCGCCACCGTGTGAGTGTGTGTGTGATTCACAGATGTGCCTTCACCTCTTGCGCGTGCCTCTGTGAGTGTGTATTTGTGAGATTTGTGTACATGGAAGTCAGGAGGCCTCCATGTATCTCGGGATGGTCCTGTCTGCAAGGGTAATTTTGTGTCTGGCTTTGACCACACCAGTCAGGTGTGTGTGACTCCGGATGGGTCGGCAGCCGCGCTGGTGACCCACCGCCTCTGGGTCTGGCGTGTCTTTCTCTCCCTCCCCAGCCTCGGCGGCTCCGGCGCTCCCCGCCCCCCGCCCCTCCCCCCCTGCTCTGTCTGTTTTATCATCCCTAATGAAGCAGTCTCCTCCACCGATCCCGCTGATTGCCAACCCATTCCTTTTGTTTGTTGGCGCTGAGCCATTCAGCGGCACTCTGACAGCTCAGCTCGTCTAATTAGCTCTGTTGTTCTTTTTCCCCATGTTTCACCACGTTGCAAGTTCAGTTGAAGTTGCCACAAACTTAATCCCCCCATTTCAGCCACAAGTTCACATTCTTAACCCGCCTTTATTGTAGCGAGGAGCAGCCCTGTGCAAGGACGAGCTGACAGGCCTTAAAGTCTGACCTTTCCTGAAAGCTCTGCCCCAGGGCCCCCAGGGCAGGGACAGAACTGTCCCTTCACCCTAACCCACACTCCCACCTTTTGTGGGGAGAAGTTGGGGGTGGGGATCATTCCAGCCAGGTGACCCTGCTTACAAGCTGCCAGAGCTGGGGAAAGCAGTTGAGAGTTAGAAGGGGTGCGGGGATACCCACTTGTTTATTCAGCCCATGTTGACTAAATGTGAGTGTGTGGCAGGCCCGGTTCTAATAATGATGATACTAGCAACGTCATCACGCGCTTCTCAGATTCCGAACAGCAGCATTCATTTGTTTCTGAAAATCTTGCTGAGCGACCATGACACACCAGGCAGTCCGCAGAATGCTAGGCAGGGACAAGAGAATCCTAAAACTCATCTTCTAATCCAGAGACATCCCCGCCTCGTCTTCCTTTTGTTGTTGATAGGAAGGGACACCCAGGTCACGGAGCAGGATGCGCATTTATTGAGCCCCCACTATGTACCGGACCCCATGCAGGGCTTCCCTGTATCTGGTCTTCACAATCACCCCATAGACAAGACAGCCAGTTTGGTGGAATGCACTTGGTGTTTACCACATCCCTGATCTGCCAAACCAGTCTGAGATCAGACTGGCCACTCCACAGGAAAAACTTTGGTTAGATCAGGCGTGTGCAGACCTGAGGGCTTGATGAGACTCCATAGAGACTTGTCTTTCATGCAGCCAGCTTCTGTAATCTGTGTTCCTAAGCCACTGTGCTGTGTCGCCCACAAGCTTCTGGGGGGCGAGGGGTTTGATGTTCAGGAAAAAGGGCAGGCAGGAAATGGAGTGTGCACCCGCTCTCCTTCCCTGTCTGTCCTGGAAAGTAAGCAATTGTGGCATCCCATCCGTAGAGATAGCAAGCCCCCCTGCCCTGGTAGGCGCTCGGTTGGTTGTGTTGGCACTGAAATTCAGAAATAGACTTTCTCTGCGTAGCTCTCAACTTGTCTCTCAGACACTGGGAGTGTACAGAGATGGCCGTGCCAAATTTAAAGCCATGTAATGTTGATTGGACCAAATGAGTGTCCTTCTAAGGGCAGCCTAACCCCTATCACAGGCTCTGGCGGGGGATCAAGGGATGAAGACATCTTTTTCTGTGGGCCCTCATCTTGGTTTCAGAGGCAGCAGGTCAGGAAAACCCATCTCGCTGCTGCAGCAGCAGCTGTGGGGTTAGGAAGCTGTGTCCCTCCTGGTGTGCCCACTGCAGACCCTCCCAGTGGGTCTCCACGGTGCGCGCGGCTACACGAGATGTGCAGCATCCAGGCTGAACCCCCTGGGAGGAGTGGCACAGGGATACCCTGGGAAGCAGAGAAATGGTTTGTATTGCCACTCTCTCATGCCTCTCTTAGAGAGGAAAATAAGCACCCTGTGATTCTGCTGTAAAAAGAGCAAACGAAGCATGTGTACCCTAAAAACAAGTCTGAGTGAAACCCTTTCTTTCTACAAAACCAGCTTATGGGTGTCAGAGGAAGATGGGAGGGAATTGTCACTGATAAGGGGCCTCTTTGTTCCGGGTCCTATGTAGACATCATGTCATTGGACCCTCACTGCAGCCCTTCGAGGAGACTGGTGGAACTATCCTCATCTTGCAGATGAAGAACCGAGCTTTCCAGGAGCACCCTTCTGATTTGAATAGGCCACAGAATTCCAGTTAATGTGTCTATCTGCTGCCAATTAGATGGTGATGTTTCTATGATAGGCCAGGCTTTTATAGCCTGTAGCTTTGAAAATCCCTAAACATTTTGTGGGGGGTGGCGTTTATTCAAGTCTTCAGAATGTTCCTGTATGGCTTTTCCAACTCACTTCTTCTTGGGGGCCTCCCCCGTACTCCCTCCAGGTGCGCCCACCTCGTCCACATGTCGTTAAGAGACCAAAGAGCAACATCACAGTGGAAGGCCGGAGGACGTCTGTGCCCAGCCCTGAGCAGTGAGTGCCCCATCGCGCCTCTCCCTCTGTCTGCAAGAACCCTCTGTCTGCAGGGCCAGCACTTTGTGGAGCCTAAGCGTGGAGCCCCAGCCTTTGTGAGGCTTCCCTGGGGCCCCCAGCGGGTGTTTCACAAAGGGGTCATTCAGGGAACAGGGCTTGATCTTTTACTCGGTCTGGTTGTCACACCAGCAGGAGGCCCCAGAGGCCAGGGAGCGAGGCACTTGGGCTGGATTTCGAGTGGTGAGGTCCAAAGGGTGCTTTGCTGGGTTCAGAAGAAGGTCCTAAGCCTCTTGTGCTGAAGAAGCCGAGTCACTAGGTGAGGGTTAGAACCTGGTCAAGAAGGCCAAGTGTTGAACTGGGCCCACCCACCTTCCTAGTCCTCCATGGCCGAGATCTGTATACGACTGCCCTTATCCACTGCCGCAGCCCCACCAGGACCCTTTGCCCACCTGTGCCACAGCATTTATGTTACTGTGGTTTGTCTTACCCACCTCCCTGAGACACGGAACTCCCTGGGTGTTATGCCCAGCACCTCCCGTAGGACTGGCCTAGAGTCACCTACCCAGGAGGCATGGGGTAGATGAGGTGAATGAGTCAGAAAGACAAGCAGTGGCCTGAGATAGAGCTGCCTGCAGAGGGTGAGGCGGAAGGCTGCCGACAGCGCTGAGTCCAGACCACAGCCGTCTGCAGACAGTAGCGCTGCTCCCCTTTGTCTGCAAGGCACGCAGCCCTCGGTCTCTATCCAGACAACTCAGCGGCGACACGCTGGCTTCCTGTGATGCCTAGAAAAAGTGCATGAGTTCATCTTGGTCTAGGATTGCAGGAGGAGTCAGAAAAATTACCCCAGGGATCCTGAAGTTCTTTGGGTGGAAAGGGCCCCCGTGTCTGGCTGGCTCTCAGAAAATATCTCAGGGAAAGAAGGTAAGGGACATGGCAGGTCCGAGGCAGAACTGGAGCGAGAAGGGAAAAAATGATTCCAAATGCCAAGCTGGGCCTAACCCAAGTTGTAGTTCACTTCAGCGCTCAGGGATTCTCTAGTTGATAAGGGTATACGGTCTTTAAGGAACCAGCCCACCCAGAAAGCCCTCAGACTTTGCCCAGAAAGTCGTGGAATTGTGTGTGTGGTGTGTGTGCACGTGATGGCACACAGGGATACTCAGTTATGAGATATTTGGAAGAGAGGACTCCTGAAGTTGGGTGTAAGTTTAACTTTTGCTCTGCACAATAGCCTGGTGGGAACATTGAGGGATGGATTATGATTGCCCCCTTGTGGAGAGAATGCTACATGGCACCTGAGTGCCTCCGACTAAAGATGCCTCCTTAAGGGGATGAAATTTATCTCATTTCTTTAAAGTCGCCTCTTTAAAACTGGACTAAACCTTTTAGACACTGAACCAGGATACAGGGTCACAGGCCTGTTGTTACTGAGATGTAAGCCAGAACATTCCTGCATTACACAAAATCACCATTTCAACACCAGCTATACTCCACATCCTCCAGAAAAGCATTACCAATTTTGTTCCCAATGAGAGGCTAGACTCCTCATCACATCGACTCACGCCGTTGCTTTTCCCTGCTGGGCAGAGGGGCCGACTCCGCAGTGTGTGCCAAAGAGCCGGTATCTGATCATCCCATTTTCCCACTTATCACCTGAACTGTGTCAGTATCACTTTTCGGTTTGTTGGTTGGGTTGACTGGTTTGTTGTTTGTTTCAGTATGTCCTGTTTTCCACTTCTGTTGGGAAATATTTGGGGTTGAAATAAGCCAGCAGGAGCACGGGAGCCAGTTTGGTGGTTGGCAAACTAACAGCAATAGAAAACAAATGACAGGTTTTCTGTGACCATACGTCACAGCTCAGCCCACAAGGAGAGAGAGGGGCAGGTTTCAGGACGTCATTCCAAGGATTTCTGCTCACGTTTGTTTAACGAGGAAGGGGAGGTTGTTCTCCCTTAATGCCAGTGGCATTTCTGGTGCAACCCACTGTTTTTCTACGTCTCTTCCCATGCTGCCTCCCCCACCCCCCCATGGTGCTCCTCCCCTTCCAAATGTCATGTCACAACAGCACTTGGATGTGTTTTTCTTAACTGTCATCAGCTCCAGCTGGCAGGACCAACTTCTTGAAACACAGGAAGCATCCAGCGGAAAATATTTTAATAAAACAGACTCCTCATAAAATATTGTTTGGGGGAGGGGGAGGAAACCGTCTCCACCAATCTGTTGGCATTGTATTGAGAGATGTGACAAGACAGGCCGGCAGCAGGGGCCCAATCCTAATGGGCCTTTGTTGGGTGGTGATTCTGTGTTGGGCACACAGACTTGGTGCCTGGCCCTTTCATCTGGCCTGGGTTTTCTTGAATCACAGATCTTCATCTCCACTGGGAATATCAAAGTGCTTCGGAAACTTAGAGGATTGGGGCAGCGGAAGGGGATGCAGGATGTCTGAAGTGGAGGGGAGAGATTCAGTCCTCCTGACTTCTTGCCTCAACTCTCACTTCTAATTGCACATTAAATAACCAGCTTTGGCCAGGCAGGGTGGCTCAACGCCTGTAATTCTAGCACTTTAGGAGGCCAAGGCAGGCAGATCACCTGAGGTCAGGGATTCAAGACCAGCCTGGACAACATGATGAAACCTTGTCTCTACTAAAAATAGAAAAATTAGCAGGGTGTGGTGGTGCACCCCTGTAATCCCAGCTACTCGGGAGGCTGAGGCAGAAGAATCACTTGAACCCAGAGGCGGAGGCTGCCATGAGCTGAGACAGCACCACTGCACTTCAGCCTGAGCAGCAGAGTGAGACTCTGTCTCAAAAATAAAATAAAATAACCAGCTTTGTGGGCAGCAAGATAGGGCTGATTAAGAGCTAGATTGTCTCCTGGAGCCGCTGAGCACTCTGGGACTCATCAGGGCTCAGAAGCACCAGCCAGCAGCTCTCTGGCCAGTCCACCCATGAAGTTCATTTCTTCCTTCCCAGCCGATGTCCATCCCTCTGTCGTTCCGTCTGTCCATTCATGCATTCAGCAAAGTATCTTTGAAAACCTACTAGGCGAAGCTACGTAAGATTTGTTTAAAGGAGGCCTTAAAAGGGAGTTCCCATGCTGACTCTTGCATTGACTTGCATTTTCCCAAAATGAAATTTTCCTATGTCACATTTTCTTTTTGGATTAACAGTGGGTTTCCTAGCCCCTTAAAACTGACTGTTGGCAATTTCTGGGCAAAATATTCCCTCTACTTTTCAGGTAACATTACTTGGCTAATATTCAGTTACTAAATCTCTTCAAGAAGTACTGGCTACTTCCATCACTATTGAGAGCACAGCTTATGAGACACCTCCAGGCTTCTCTGTGGCTGGGATCAGGGTAGGAGGGATCCCACAGGAGAGGCTGTGAGTTAGACACCCGTCAGCAGGGGGCACGGTGGAGCACCCATTGATTTCTAGGCCCTCTTGGGCCTCGCATCGTTTCTTCTTCCAGAGTGGAAGCTCAGGCTCAGAATGGGAATTTGACCAGTCTTCCCAAGGTCGCCCAGTTGAAAAGTGGCCAGGCCGGCATTCAGAATTCTTGATTTCATTCTCTCCATGACACTCTGATGCTGTCCTTGGAATGGGGCCCTTCAAGGTCCATCTTTACTCTGGTTTTGCCCAGAGAGACAGCCCCACATCGTAATTGGAGATGCCTGCCCAGCAGGCCACCCTTCCTCTCTGGCTCCCTGAAGGCCGGAATTGGGAACCGGATCTGTTCAGTCTTCTTACCGCCAAAGAAATTGTGTGAACTGGTGCCTGAGTGTTTCTTCTTGAGGAAGGAAAGAGAAATGATGTTTACTGAACATCCCTTAAGACTGTCAAAGGTCTTAGCTGGGCATAGTAGCATACACCTGTAGTCCCAGCTACTCAGGAGGCTGAGGCAGGAGAGTTCCTTGAGGCTGGGGAGTTGAAGGTTGTCGTGAGCTGAGATCACGCCACTGCACTCCAGCCTGGGCCTCAGAGCAAGACCCTATCTCAAAAAATAAAATAAAAAAAGATTGTCAAAGGTAGGTGGTAACTTTCCCATTGAACAGATAGAGAAACTGAGGCTCAGAGAGACTTTCAGTAATTTGCCCAGAGTTTCTTAGGACAAGGAAATGGTAGGATCAGGTGTCTGATGACAGAGGCCTAGTCCATTATTCTCTACTAACTAAGCTTTTCATTAAGAACCTAATTATTGCCAGGCATCGTGGCTCACAGCTGTAATCCCAGCAACTTGGGAGGCCAAGGCAGGTGGATCACTTGAGGTCAGGAGTTCAAGACCAGCCTGGCCAACATGGTGAAACCCCATCTCTACTAAAAATACAAAAATATTGCTGGGTGTGGTAGCTCATGCTTGTAAGTCCAGTTACTAGGGAGGCTGAGGCAGGAGAATCACTTGAACTCAGGAGGTGGAGCTTTCAGTGAGCCTAGATCATGCTGCTGCACTCCAGCCTGGGTGACAGAGCTAGACCCTGTCTCAAAAAAAAAGAAACAAAAAAAGTGGGCCGTGGTGGTTTCCGCGGGGTGTGCATGTCTGCCAGGCCCCAAGTTATATTCCTTCTGGCCTTCCAGGTATAGGGGAATTGCCCATCCAACTGGATGCTTAGAAAGAGCCAATGGCAGGCTCTGAAAGGTAGCACTGTGGTCTGAGCCCCTGGGCCCCTCAGGATGGCACACTGCAGACTAAAGCCAAGGCAGGGAGTGACACACTGAGCCCCGGGCTCTTCTCTCTGCCAGGCAGCGCGTCATTTGTTCCCTCTGGGAGGCGGCAGTAGGGGCCGGAGCACTGGCCCTCACAGAGTTGCTGAGAGTATGCAGGAGACCATTCTGTGCATCTGCCCCATTTAATCTCCACAGCCCAGATGTAGGTGTCTTCTGAGTCTTCAGGCGGAGGGGCTTGCAGTGGTTGTGGGTCTGAGGGGCCCCTCCTGACCACCTGCATGCAGAGCCGGGTTCTTTCCACTGCACGCCTTGCCTCCTAACGGATGAGACACTGAGCAC